GCTTATCGTGCACATCCAGAAGGACCAGCGCAAGGGTCTGTCGCCTCACATGCAGAAATGCGTGTTTATTGGCTACCCTGATGGCTACAAGGGCTGGAAGTTCTACTGCCCTGACACCAGGAAGGTGGTGATCTCAGAACGTGCCGAGTTTGATGAGCGGCTCTTCCCTGGCCTGAGGCGCACTCCTGCCTCGCTTTCCACTCCCATTGTCGACCCTCCGACCTCTGAGCCTGTCCCTGTCTTTGTACCTGCACTGGATCAAGGGGGGGACGACGACTTTGTGCCTGCTGCCATTCCTCAGGCCCCTATTGTGCCACTTCCTGCAGCAGCACCTCCTCCAGTTGCTCCAGTGCCTGTCCAAGCTCCTGCGCTCCCTGCACCAGTTGCACCTCCTGCGCCTCTAGCTGTTCAGCCACCTCCTGCGCCACAAGCTGCGCACCAACCCCCTCCTGAAGCGGACGACCTCAATCTGCCCTGGTGTATTGTATTGCCTCCAATATATGCTTTATATGAAGGATAAGAACTGGATCCATAGAGAAGTCAATTGTTCATTTTTATTTTCATTATATTTGCTTTATACATCGCATTCAAATTGGTATTTTGCATTTTAAGGCTTAACTAAATAAGGAAAAGTGCTGGGACAAATTTTTCCCATACTCAAAATGTGATCCTCTACCACTTTGGTCTTTACCATATAAGACAATTTCCTTATATGGAAAATGTATTGTTACTCTTTGTATCGTGACTTGAAGTCAAGCAACAGGGGAACAAACAAACCTCAAGCCCAGGAGCATTCAACAGGGTATTGATTGAAGTGATAAACGAGCAAGGCTCAAGTTCAAGGCCAGGGACAAGATAATATTAGTCAGTAAGGAAAGATAAGTAAATACAGGAGAGCTTACTGACCTAGGGACAAAAGGTCAAAACTGGGGTCCCTATGGTGCACACTGCTTAGTCACCACCTAAAGTGTGCAGTGGCCAAATTGGTCAGGCAGTACATTGACTAGGAAGCACCCGTGGGCTGTAGGGTGTACCATATAGCACATAGCATAGTACTTATTGGGAGTGACAGCGGTGGCGCTGCAGTCTCTCGGCAATGTTCTTTTGTAATGAATACATTCCGCGCTATGGTATCAAAATCAAAACAACACAAAATCATATCAAAAGGCGATGCAGGGAGCAGTTGCACAGCACTAGCACTAAAGGACTGAATGCCACAAGTGGGGCTGAAGTCGAAGTGGGTCACAGAAGTGTGTATTAAAGGGTCGCTACAGAGCTCTTTATATACATGAGCAAGGGAAAGCATTCCCATGACAGAACAATAAGGAAAAGAACAATAGAGTCCAAAAGGAGAACAGAGGCCACTTGGCCACAGGAACAATGGAACAAAAGAAGTGTGGCCGGAGCTGTGCTCTTGTCTGATTGCTCCGCAATTGATACAACCATGTGGTCACATGGTGTGGTGGCTCCCGCCACCGGGGGATCGTCCTAGGCCGACCAGGGGACTGTGGCAGAGCACATTGTGACAAATCACTGCTGCTGCCTGTGCTTGCGAAGGCAAGGCCTGTCAAAAGGCAGTGATCTTGATTAGCTCAGATTCGGAGCCCAATGATGCTCAAATCAAACATCCCACCTCACCTATTGACTTGACTGTTATGAAAAGTGATGGTGAATGCATCTGGTCAGGTGGCATCAACTTCCATGTGCCTGATGGAAGTCAGTCTGAATGGTCTGGGAGCGACTCGGGCTCAGAATCAGACCTGGAAGCCTCGGAGATGGAAGGGAAGAAGCTGGTAAAAAGTCTCTGCAGGGAGTATGGGAGGTTCAAGATGAAGGCCTCAGGTCAACCAACAGCATACGAGGAGTTGCAAAGGGGCATTACCTCGAAGGACTGGAAGAAGGCTGAGGGAAACTGGTGCCTTAGGTATACCAGAAATTCAGACAGGACAGGATGTCGAAATGAGCTGTTTGCACAGCAGAAGGAGAGTGAGGATCAAAAGCTATAAACAAGGTCAGTAGTCCTGTCATTCATGAAGCTCCGGCCTGCAGCTCACCTTACTACAGCCAAGGCGCGAGCATGATGTGTGCATTTCTTACCAAAGGCACGAAGCACATGCAGGTCCAGCAATCCACGCACGCAGACAGTGCGGGAATACTGCCATCGCGAAATGCACTTCCCGTAGTGGCAGGATCGAATGACAACACAATCTTCACTGGCTATCTGTCAAACATTTCTAGCTCTGAGGATGAGCTGGATAAAGATGACAATCAGACAGATCCGGAAGACGAGGATGGGGACTCACCTGGCTCAGATACCCATACACTTTCCTCTTCATCTGTTACTTTCCATACCCAAGCACCTCTGCCACTCAAGCGCCAGAAGCTCAACATAAGCTTTCGTCAAGCACATAAAAATGCGAAGAAAGCACAGCAGAAGGAGTCCGTCAAGGCTCTTGCTGCTATTGAGAAGTTAATTGACTCAAAGTGTGCTGTGTTCGAGTCAGAACACAATGGGCTTCAGGCACACTGTGCACAAGCAATCCAAAGCTGCCTAAGGATGGTTGTTGATAACCAGCAGAAGCTTGTTGATGCATCCCAGAGGGCTGCTGAAAGTCATAGATTCGCAGTGAAATGGGGCAGATGACTCGTGAGACAATGGGTGCACAAGTGACAAGAAGGACAAGACTTACCTGTCTCATTCCGAGGGAGGCACATCAAGGTTTTCACCCTCCTTTCTGACCCGACTATCACTGCCAAGTTGCACTTGTATGTTCGTTCGAACAAGTGGGCAATGAATCCGGCAAAGCTTGCATACTTCAGCAAGAACAAGTTTATCCTCGATGCCGCAAAAGTCTATTGCCATCATATTGTAAATCACGAGATCCCCGCAGGCATACAGAAGTACCTGGAGCTTGAACTCTTTCCACGTATTCAGTTCAAGGTCACAAAGGGCATCTCACTTTGCACTGCGTGCTGTTACAATTTCTGAGGTACGAAGAATCATTCTTATATTGGAATTCCATGTAATGCTTGGCGTTAAGCTCAATGAGGAAGGTTGTTCCCACAGTATTCAAACACCGATAAGCTGTGATTGTATGCTGTGGCTGATATAGACTATCTGAGTTTGAAACCATACTTACTGCCATCATGCGACTTGTGTCAACACATGCAAACAAATGGTCTGTGGGCCACTGGTGGGCGCTTGTAACACTTGATGTTGAGCTCAATTAGGCAGGTGCTCTGGGGTGGGCTCTCAATGGGTGCTTGTAACACTTGATGTTGAGCTCAATACTCAGGTGCATACACAACCTTATAATCTGTATAATTAAAACATAATATATATATAGGATTTGTTATTCATTGAAGTATGCTCATGTTTTGAATGATTTTTTGTTGTTATATTGGCATCTGGGCAATGTTTCAAATACACTTTAATGTGTTGCTTGCGTGTTACATTCCCAACATATAAGATCAAACTGTTTGCACAAGATCCTAGCAATTGGTCTTGACTACCAGTGCTATTATGTATGATAGTCACTTTATACATTATCTTATATTCCAGTTAGTAATGAGCACTCTTAGCTAACTGTTCCATGATTTGCTTTATGCAGTTTGAAAATCTTTGATATCTACAAAGGAATGTTGTTTAAGAGTTATAAGAACACTCTGAATATATAATGTTGTGATATGATAAACATCAAAATTGCAAAGGATTGTTCTTTGTTCATGATAAGGTTTATACTTGCATACTTGATCAATGATCTAAGCCTTCAAACACAATATAAAAAGTTGACCACAGCATATAAAGCAAGTTGGATTGCAATTACATAAGGTGAAACTTTAATACATGCTAACAACCAAAGTCAAATGATGTTATCAAATGCTTATTATAATGAGTCTCATAACACATTCTCAGTCCATGACGATAATACATACAATGATACAATGGTCTATACTCCTATATTGATGCCTGACTCGTAGACGAT